TTATTAATTTTATAACAAAAACAATTCTTTGGTAAATAAACGAATAATTTTGGTAAATAAAAGCGCCGGGAATTACTGTATATACCGTTAGGTTTATAAGTTATACTTACGATCGTTAGAGCTTCTATTTTTGGGAGTAAAAATATCAAAATTCAGGAATATACATTGCCGATATATACAATGTACATTGCCTAAATCGGCAAAATTAGGGAATTGCGCTTTTATTGAATTTTCAAACCATAATTATTTAATAAAGTGATTTTAAAAAGGTTTATATTCACTTATGACAAAAATAATGACATTTATTGAAGCAAAATAATTGCCAAACATATAAATATGTCGCCTGTATCTAATGTTTTATATTGTCGATAAACATCATATCTATAAATCTGCATACATTTGAATTTCATATTATGCGCCAATGTTAAAGTGAATCAAACTGTGAACTGATACAGTGGCCAATCAAGATTAAGAGAGAAAGTATTTTGGCAACATTGCACATTGAAAATCATATCCATAAGAATTTGTTTTATCAAAATGTGCCAAAATCGGGAAAATAAAAATAACATATTTTGAGCTTATTATCTCTTCTTAAAAAAGTGCCATGGTCATTGTGCCAAAGCTATTTCGGGAGTGGACTTCTTTGAGAGAGGATTACTTCGGAACCACAAGACATACAGACAAATGAATGACATTGTTTTGTCACTCAATAAATACTCTTTCAAATCAAACCATCATTCAAAAATTTTCGGTTAAATTTGACCAATATATTGAGTTTTTACCGAGTTCCACATTTCAAATGCAATTGTTAGTAGGGATCAAATAGAGTAGTGAATACTTTTTAAAAATATATTTATTCATTTATTATAATTATTTCCAAATGCAAATGTCTTTAAGATAATCAATAAAATGCATTAAAATTAACTTTGGTTTTAAACAAAAAACAGTCAAAATTAATGAGATATAATTCTGTTGAGCGCCTGAGCCCTACGTTCGGTGTTTTGAAACAATACACGAATGAGTTGTTTGACGTCCTGTGCGGTGAACTCTGCGGCCAATATTCCGTATCCATCGGCCCATCGGTTCACTATTTCCAACAAATTGGCCTAAAATATGAAACAATAAAATTAATATCCAATAAATTATAACATAAAACTTTGACAAACATTGAGAATAAAGTTAAGTTCGGAGAGCTTTGACCACTTGCTAACCAAACGCATCGGATTCTCAGTCTTGAGAAACGTTTGAACTTCTTTGAGAAGAAACTCAATTTCTTGACTCAGTCTTTGGGCGCCGGAAGAGCTGATATCGTTCTGAATCAATATCTTATTTATCAAACCATTGAATAATGTGTTTATAACGGTTCCGATCGCTTTGTCGTACACTCTTTGAGGCAAAACATCGACCAGTGTTTGCCTTAAGAAATTGAAATGAACTAAACATTGCTTAAGAATGTGTCGAAACTCTTTAGATAATTGGTCGCCAAAAGTAGTGTTGGAGTCTTCGTTCACCATATCGTTAATACAATGAGAGAATTGTTGGCTTTGAATCAACTCTAAGATAGTCTTCTCTTGAGATCTCATTTGTTGGAGAAACACATGGGAACCGAGTTCTCGCAAAAGAGCCACAAATTCGTTGAAAACATTATGCGATTTGTGTTTCAATGCAAACGATTCAATAAAATTGGCGAAAAACATGCAATTATTGTGGAAAATAGCGTTTTGTTGCGGAAATTGAGTAATCATTTTATTATGAAATACAGGACTAATATCTATAAAGAGTTCGCATATGTCTGCCATTGTCTGTATCAACGCATGGGAACAGTCGGTCGAGCACTGGGAACAGAGTTCGCTAATCTTTTCCATCAATTGTTTCAATTGTACAATGAATTCACTGACTCTACAGGAAGGCAACGAGTTTTCTGTGGGATTCTCATCGGATCCCACGTTCACTGTTTGATGCAAATCACGGCATATAATCATTTTGGACTCAATCAAGAAATCGGTGCAAAGTCTGCGACAGAAGTGAGAGTTTATATTGAGTGCAAACTCTATAAACGGAGAGTTTGTGTTGTCGTCTATAAAACACAATTCTATAAGAAAATGTCGAATATCTTCGGCAGAGTCGACAAGCGATAGGTATGACTTGATTTCTGACTCATTCTTCGGCATTAAACGATTCAAATAGTATTTCAAGATCTGATCGAATATGTCTTCCGTCCAGAACTGTCCCAAAAGTCGCAACAATTGTCTTCCCTCTGGTATACCGTTCTTATCGGTTATGATTTGACTCGTGTAATCAAAAAACAACTTCAAAAGCGATAGTGGAGTCGAGGAAGTGGTGACACTCTTCGAATGGACAGCAATTATCTTATTGTCTTCTAAAACAATTTGATTCACGTCTTCGTTGAGAATTGTAATTATGAAAAACTGATTCAAACTTTTAATCAATTCTCTCAAAATGCCCTCATTTTCTCTGATCTCAACGAATGCTTTAATGAAGTTCTTGTATTCACTACTCTTGAGGTAATTAATTAAATTAAAATCAAACACATATTCGCTGTTAAACTCATCCTTAAATGCCTTAACGTTTGAGTTAAACATTGTTTTCGTGTTATAAATCAGTTCCTCTCTCTTCACCACTAAATCACTGCGAATTGAGTGCAAAAATGTTGTCAACTCTTTCGAGAGTGGCTTTAAGTCATCGTTAGACTCAATGGCAGGGATCAGCTGTTTGTAAAGAAGCGACACATTATCCATGTGTTTAAATGCCATGTCATAGGAGTTGATACTAAACGAGTGGTCTATTGATTGCATTTCGTCATAGATTTGTTTCAACTGATCGGTGAAGTCGGACACCGATTTCGATCGCATCTGTCGGTCGTTGTGTTGCCGACAAACGTGTCTCAAGTCATTGACTTCTGTGACCAAATCGCTGTCGAGGAATGCATTCAATTCGCTCTCCAAACCAGTCATCTCTTTCTTATATGCAATCAATTTATTGTAATTAGTGTTCAATTCATTCAAATCGATGTCAAACGACTGCAACTCTTCGGCCAAACGCTTTCGGGTCGACTCGATGTCCGTTTGGATCCGCTTTCGAAGATAATCGGGCGACTCTTTGGCCAACAATAGCCGCAACACATAGTCATCGAAATCAAACTTTTCGGACATTATTTGCACTTTTTATTTGTGTTTCAAATCAAATCAAAACTATTATTATTATTATAATTACATTATTTAATAAACAAATCAATTAAATTGTATTTACAGTTGTATTCGTAATAATGAGTCAAAAAGTGTGGCAATTATTATAACAATTAAAACCAAAACATATGACAAAAACACGGATTTTGGTTAAAAATCACTGTTAAAAGCGATTACAAAAAAAACTATTTTTTAATAACAAAACTCTCAAAAAAAGTGTTTCAAAAAAATAAAATATATAATGAATTCAATTATTTTATACATTAAAAAGTGTCGACAAATTAAATTAAATTGATTTTGTTGTGCATTTAGTTAACGATAATCGCTATTAACAGACAATTTACTAATCAATCCGTTTTGTGTTGTCGTCCAAAATACTCATCACATAAACAACTGTATAAATGACGTCCACTTTCTTATACTGTATATCGCGTGTGCTTTTCATGAGTGCTTTCAATTAAAAATTACTTCTCATTTGTAAAAATCATTTACAATTGAGTTCATTGTCTCAAATGACAGGCGAAGAGGGGGTTAGGGGTGGGCGTCAATCGTGGGGCGGGTGTGGAGGCAGTGGGCGTATGTGAACCGCACTTATAGACAGTACATGTGATGTACAGTTGTGAGCAAAAGTGTCGAGACATACAGTTTGGTTGCGTTTAATGAAATGAATGTGAGAGAGAGAGAGAGAGAGGGAGAGAGAAAGGGATCAAAAAAGTAATGTAAACATCTCTTACTCTTTCTTTTTTAAATAAAAACCATTAAATACTAAATTATTTACAATTCATTTTTTTCAAAATAAAGTTAATATTTGTTTTTTTTTATAAAATATGGTTTTAGTTAAGGAAACCCCGGCATTGAGGCGCCTGACAGAGACACGGAATCTTATTGTCCTCTTCGATGGGAAACTTATAGTCGTAAGTGATCTCTTCGTCCACACCTATCGGTTGCTTAGAATATATCACTATTTTCTTGTTTCCCTCAACAGTAATCACTTTTGCGTAACAATTGGGCTGAAAATAGCAATCATTTTGTTAGACAATGCTTTAATAGAAGTGTGACAATTGTGACACTTGGATGTGACATACATTGCAGCTGTGGTTTATAAATCGGGCCACATTTCCATATCGTGTGGCGTCAACAATGGTCTCGAGGTCTACGCGGAAGAGATACGAACTGCCGATTCCTAACTCTGTATATTTCTTTTCCCTGATGTCGGCCACTATCGGACGGATTCCTTGTCCGACGTATTCGATGACCATCTCGTCGGCGGCGATCGGTTCCAACGCAAAGAGACCCCAATCGTGAATTCGACTCTTTGAGAACTTCAATTGCTTTTTGCGGAACTGTTTAGCGGACACACAAATGGGTTAATATATAGTGAGAAGTGAAGGGCAAGCGGTGGACAAACCTGTAATTGATTGAATTTTAAGAGATCACTCCACGCGGCGTCCACTGTAGCCAAAAGCCTCCTCTGGTTAGAGCGCGCCTCACGAGTGGACTGTTGTGTACCCGTCTGTCGGACGCGCAGCTGTTTAGGTATGTCTTCGTCGTCTTTATCATTGGTGTTGAGGGAAGCGTTGGAAACGTGCGAATGCCTGATCTTCTCGAACACATCCATCTTATAGTAACCCTCAGATCGGGCGCAACCGGTTCGGTGTTCTCTGGGGTGGGAGTCGTCGGTCTTCCGGCGTTTCTTCGGCGACGCGATGTGAGTGGGCGTGTGATCGACCCAATGGATGTCATTCAACCACCACGAGTCCTGGTTCTCCTCCTGAAGCATCGTCTCGTAACTCCGCTTCAGATAAGACACATCTTCGGCGTCAATACCTGTCTTGAGGAACTCATACAATATGTTCATCTCTCCGATCAGATCCCGTTGTTTATATACAGGCGGTGGCGTTGGACTCCTCTGTTCGAAGTCCGAGAGATCGTCGGCTAAATTATTGACAACATTTGAGGTTCTCTTGGCTTTGCGCCACTCGGAGGCCACGGCATAAATCCCGCGATGAAATTCTTGTGTCGGAGACTTCAATGGCGTTGTCGTCGAAGTTTTCCTCTTATATTGTCGTTTCTGAGGCTTGGCTTGAGATGAGGTATCGTTTGTTCGGCTATACATGTGATCCGTTAACTGACTCTTGGATTTATCTTTGTCTTTCTTAAGCTCTCCGCGAGCGACAGATTCAATAAGAGAGTCTAGATTTGACTTCGGCTCGAGTCTGGCGGTCACTTCGGGCCGACAATAGCTGTGGTCGAAGGCTATGGCCGTCTGCGGCACTTCATTCTCAAACTGTTCCGCTTCTGACGCCGACTCTGTATCGCTTCCAATGGGAACTCTCTTCGGAGGCTTTCCATCCCTTGTTATTTCACCATTACTTCTATCACTTTCTGCACTCTTAGGTACGGCTGAGAAGCCTGTGGCCAAAGCCATGAGCGCCTGTGAGGCCTCGTATTCTAAATCAGTGGTCACTTCAGATTCCTTTTCAATCATCTCTTCCTTATTCTTCGTTGAACTCAAGTTTGTATCAATTTTTGAACTCATTTCAGAATCTTTTTCTGCTTTTATTTCGGCCTTTCTTTGAGCGAAAGACTTGGAGGAATCGGAATCGTATAACATATCCGTTGATTTCTCTTTAGCACCCTTTGGATGACTGGACCGATGTTTGCGGTACTTCTTTCTCTTCGCAGCACTTGAATCGGATGAACGCGAAGAATCAGATGATGAGGAAGAAGACGAAGAGGCGGATGAGGAGGAGGATGACGACGATGAAGAGGATGACGACTCACTATCACTATCGGATCCGCTCGAAGAAGAGCTCGAATCGGATGAACTTGAGTCAGAACTAGAACTGGAACTGCTGTCACTACTCGAAGACTTGGCCTTCTCGTCGATAACAGCGGCCGCTCTATTCTTTTGAGCTCTGGATCTTCTCCGATAGTTCTCACTCTCGGAATCGTCGGACAGTTTATCGACTTCGGCATCAGATTCTGTTGTCTTCATGTCATTAGTGGTGTCATCAATGGTAGGAGAGGTCGGCTTTTTAAGTTTGCGCCGAAATGAAGGCATTTTAGGTATGGCTGCGCGAAGACCTAAACCTCCGCCACTATAACTGGTGAACGTATTTACAGATTCAGTTCGATTGCTCTCATATAACGATGACATTGACTGCCACTCAGCACTGGTTTGTCGAGAATGAGTGCCACTTAAATCATTTGGTCTGTTAGTGAGTCTGTCGTCAGTGGTAGTGATGTCTTGTGCTTTGGACTTGCGTTCGCATTCATCCCACCACTTCTCGTATATCTTAAACGCCGAGTTCTCCACAATCTTCTTGCAAATGTCTTTCTTGATTAAATCCTTGAGCTCTGAGACCACTTTATTGAGTGAATTGCGGGTGATTTGAATCTTCTTGGCCTCATTGGTCTGCTTCTGCCATTCGGTGACAGCGGTGTTGAGAGACATTTGAGGCACTTTTGATGTGGGAGTCATCGACGCTGAGATGGAAGAGAAATGAGAACTATTGGGTTGAATATATCCCGGGATGGGGTAGAAGTTGGGCTGCGGCTGCGGATATTGCCCTGACTGTGGTGTGGCGTATGACTGGCCAGTCATAGGCGGGAACATGAAGGGCGCGAATGCGGGAGTGGACTGTGCGGTGAAGTTGGGTTGAGATGCGGTTGAGTTAAACACTCCTAAATCAGATCCCATTCCAGGTTTCCATAACCCCAAGCGAGCCATCATCTGCACGTGTTCTGACGGATACATCGGATGTGAACTCTGATGAAGAACACCGCCGGCAGAGACGGATGGCTCACTTGTGTCCCCTCCTATGTGTAGTTTCTCACCGCTGCTCAGCGATGACAACGACATGCGGTCGTCATCCATGTCCTCCTCAATACCTTTTCTATACGTTTTATTACGGGTTCTCTTACTTTCCTGCGGTTCGTCCTTAAGTGGTGTCCCGTCGTCGTCGACCACCTCTTCGTGCGGATTATACTTCTCCTCGTAGTCGCTGTCCTCCAGTGTTGGATCCCTTCCCGAGTCGATAGCTTTAGTCATTTTCGTCCATTTTATAAAATCGGAAGCACTCAAGAAGGGAGACGGAGGCGTCCCTAATATGGCTTCCGAATCGTAGGTGTGATGTCTATTAGATCTGTTATTTAACTCATTGTTCTTTCGGTGACTCTTTGGAGAACTTTTAAAGTCGTTTGAGACGAAGGGTGGGCTTCCGATGGCTGACATGACGCCCAGAAAACTGGGTCCCAAACCAGCGCTTTGTTGCTTCAAAAGCAGTTCTATTCGTGAGTCCAAACTCTCTCGAATCGGACTCTTATCGGAAGTTTCTGTACGAGTATTTTCAATCCATGTGCCGCTCTGTTGATCCCAACTCATGTTGTTAGGCGTCTGACCCCACGTGCCATCACTGCAAGCGTTACCATTGTTTTGATTGTACGGGTATTGCTGTTGATATGAGAAGCCACTGTCGAAACTATGAGGCGTTGAATGCGTTGAATGATAACTCGCTGACGACGGCTGACCGACTCGTCCGTCAGTGCCGTAACCGAAGTCAGAGGCACTGCTAGGAGTAGTGGTCGGAACGGATGAGATGACTGATGGAACCGCGGATGACGTTTTGCTATCGATTTCTGTGATAATCGTATTCGGGTCTAAAAAGCCAGAATCGGCGGCGTTTACGACCGGAATCTGAGGTACAATCGGTGGTGGATTTACAATCGCCTCAAACGCTAACATCACTTCTTTGCCTACAATTTGTCGCAATAATTGTTTAACAAGTTTTTGATAAATAAATGTCGAAAATATCACAAATCTAGTGAAATAATGTCAATGTGTTTGTATGTCATACCGAAGGGGTCGAGGAAAACGTTGAGAATATTGCCCATCACTGATGTCTGGTCTAACTTTTCGACACACATTTTAGCGCCAGAAATGGTGGCGAATATCATTTTGGCTAAACCCAAGTGCTTCTTAGTCTTCGGATGGTATAGCACTTGTAAATCGTCGATGAGATCATACTTTTTAACTAAGTCTTCTAGAAATGTCTTATTTATATTATCGTTTAAATTAGTGATCGACACTTCGATCGGCGGAGGAATTCCCACATAATTGCTGTCAATCTATTGTCAGAAATGTATTGTTAAACAGATTTTAGGATCAAATTGTAAATATAGAGTACAATCGCTATATAAGCGGTTTCTCAGGCATTCATCTCTCATATAATCCATTATATTTTCATTAAATGTTAAGTTTATTAAATAATTAAAACAATTAAACCATTTGTCGGAAAATGAATTGTAAAATAAGTGGTATTTTCTTATCAACAAAATAATTCAATTACGAAATATGTTGTCGTTTTGTTTACATTGAGTTCAATGCCTCACAAACCACTGGTTAACAACGTTTAACATCACTTGTACTCTATATTTGACACAAAATTAACCTTAAATTTGGGAAAAATAAGTTCTGCGGCTTCGATGCGGTTCCAAATGGGAGGTCCCCTCCGGGGGTCCTTCACCTGAACGGTCGGGTAAACCGATTCCCTCTGTTTGGACAAAACAGATAGACGTCAAGCATTGGCACACTTTTTAAATGGCATTCAAAATTCACGTTTATATCGATACCAACCCCCGGAACGATCCCATCGTAACGGTACAGCTTCTGCGGTCCCTTCTTCAGCGCCGGATCCACTATAAGCTTATAATTTCTCGGCTTTTTATCTTTATTCAAATCAGTGGCCGACGGATGGCTTTGAGATAACGTCGACGGATGTATGGCCTGAGTGTCCACATGATTGGGATGTGTTTGGGATTTGCTTTGCGGCTGCGGTTGCGCTGAGTTGTGATTGGATTGGCTCTGAGTCTGGGTTTGGGAAACCATATCCCCGTTCACTGCTATCAACCATACAATCAAATCAAATGACAATTTAATTTACACATCACTTCAATATAGAAATGTATGACAACTCGTATATTACAGTGATTTGTGGACACAAATGGCTTAATGTGATCGTTGGTCAGCATTGGTTTGACCACCGATTCGTTCATTTGCGGTGATAGACATCCAAAGCGGGCGTCCATTCAATTCATAGCCATTTAACTGCAAAAACATTTACAATTAAATCAAACCAACAATTAATTGAATGCAAACATCAATGCATTCATCGCTTGGATTCACAACACATCCAAACATTTACCCGAAAAGAGTGACTAATTTTGTGGACAACAATCAAACCAACGAATGATATAATCGGGTCTTAGAAACGGGTATTCAATGGCAAATCGAAACGAGTTTTGCATTTAATGTTTGATTCAATAATAATAATACAAAATACTGTAAAAACATTGACTTTTCGATACATTTCACACTCTCTTCTAATGCATCCCTCTTTGCAGCACTTCATCACAGATGGCATACCATTCACTACAACACCTACTTTAGCACATTTGCAGCACTTTGTAAATTGTAATCACTTTTAATTTAATTCATTTATTTGATTGTCTCTTCAATTCGTATTCAGTTTATCGATAGTTTGCTTTCAATTCATCTATAATTAAATCTTCAATTAGTTTATAAATGCTTACAATTAGTTGTATGTCTTCGCGTAAAAGCACTCATTATTTAGGTTTTTATTAAATAAAATATTTAAAATTAGAGTAAATTTGTGCTACAATTTAAAATTAATGACTCATTTTGTTATACAAAATAATTTTCTTAAATAACTAAATATTTGAATCCATTGCTAAGAAGTGATTCCTTCAACGTTTGAGCCGATGGTTGGCCAACGAGTCTTAATTTCCTGATGATATGATTGTGGCAACCATTCTATGTATTCTTTTAATAGGTCTGAAAAGTGATCAACAAATCCATTAATCAAAAGAGCAAAAGACAAAACTGATTAAACAAATTGCTTACAATTTGGTTCACTTTTCCATTTATTTAACAGACTTTTTCTGTTATCAATATTTTGTGAGACAATTGATTTGAGAAAGCGTTCGCTTCGGGGCTGAAGAGAAGCCCACGATTTGGTGATAATGATTGGCGACGACAGCAAATGCTTGGCGTATGTCTTGAAGAATGGGATGACATCGCCTTCGAGCAGAAATCTAGTGAAATACTTATAGCGATCTAAACCTTCGGGATAAACAAGTTCTGTGGCTTTAATGGGCCACTCGTAGGGCCCGAAAGTGGCCGAACGGAAACACTTGACCGCATCGGCGCCGCTGTCATAACGAGGGGCCGGACTTTCCAGTGGATTAGAAAACGTGCATAAATTGGGCACAAATGTTGCCAACCATTCGGCTTCTATTGTCACCATATTTCTCATCTCAAGTCTCGACGACTCGAATAATTCCTGATAAACAACATATTCGGGCCATTCCTCGCTTAAGATGGAACTCTTCGACATAAACACCGGTTTTTCGACTTCAATCGATTGGTAAGCGTTGCGGAGTTTCTTCTTCTCCTTGTCGTCCAAATCGGTGTCCAAAACGGGAACTTTACGAGCGATGCGATCGAAAAATCCACTCAACATTATTTGCCGCAAAAGTTTGATTTGCAGAGCGTTTGGAGGTTTCATCTCAAGACATGTAGTGATGTCTTCATTCAATTCGCCGCAAATATTGACGATTTGAGAACTCAATTGTTTTCGCAATTTATTGATTTCAACGATCGCTTTATATCGGAGACCGTTTTGTTTGCAGAATGTGTCGGTCAGTCCCGCATACTGTGCCGCACCGATTGAGTTCAACAAAACCATTACGTCTCCCAATAGTAGTGTGTCTTCGGTTTTAAACCAAAACTTGTGTTTTTTGGCATTCATTTCATTGTTAATGAATATCTCTTGGATAGTGAGCGCCGACACTATAGCTATAGTATAGGGCATGAGTTGGTGTTGTCGCGAAAGGGCCAACATTTTTGCATATCTCGGACTTATAGGGAAGTGAGACATGGCTTTCCCGAGTTCTGTGATCTTAGCCTTCATGAGTGTTTTGTCCACTTTGTTGGCCTCTTTCGTGTCTTTGAGAGCTCCCATCAAAACGAGTCGCTTCTCTGCGGCAGTCAATGACTCGATGGACGGCTGAGAAGGGAAGGGAAAGTTGACGACATTCTCGATATTCATTGCTTTCATTTGTAACATTAAATCGTCGGACGGTTTTCGCAGAATCTCGGGCTCAGAATATTGTGGGAATTCATCGTTAAATATGGCCGAAGAATAGAGTCGATAACAATGTCCGGCACCCGTACGGCCCGCACGGCCTGCCCTCTGGTCAGCCGATGCTTTCGATGTCCAACCGATTATAAAAGTCGAAACCCCCGTCACGTTGTCGTATACTTTGCTTTTAACCTTTAAGTGAACGCAAATATTTTCAAATTAACTTTTAGTCGAAAACAAGATTTGCAGGCAAAGCAAAAAGTTACTCATTCTTTAGTTGAAATAATTTGTAAATATATTATAGACTATACTAACGTCATGATTAAATATTGTATTGTAAGAATCACTGGGAAAATTATCATGACTGGTCAACTATTTGGTTTCGATAGTTATGCACACAAATTAAAATAATTATAAAGGATAATGTTCAAATAATGCCAAGAGTGCAACCGGGAATTATTGTTATCAATCGAAAGTACACTCTATAGGTAGTACGGTGATATAATTTATTTGGCCAGACGACCTCGGGTTTGACCGCAATGACCACTTTTATCGGGAAAATTTTGGATATAATATCTTGTATTTTATGAATAAGTATATCATATTATATATTAATGGAAAGGTATGGATGAGAGGAATTGAAATCTGAAGGAATTTCCCAAATCTGACATAATGGGTAAAAGTTATATCATAATTTAAAAATTTAGTAACAGTTATACCATCAGTTATATCAATTTCAATTATGCTCACAATGATAATTAATTTCGCAAATTAAAAATAGATTAAAAAACTTTAATATAAAATGTTTTGGTTCTCTAAATATTTAAAATTTATTCAGGATTCTTGTAAATTCTGTTGTACGACAGCAATGAGTCAAAACGTCAAAACCGGGTCAAAGGTTAAATTCAACGATGTGTCTAACCCTTACTCATTAGTCAAAAGTTTAAACATTTTTTTACCTTTGGACAACACTAGACGTATTTTTTTTGAACAATTATTGTATCTGATATCTGAATAGTATTAAATCTGGCCTTAAAATTGTTAGTGATTTTATAGACTACAACTTTATGCTGAATAGAGTAATGCAGTATATATAGCAATATAGGACACAAACCTTTCCCGAGTCGACAACATATTTAATATTAGGAATAGTGAGAGAAGTCTCGGCGACGTTCGTAGAGATGACACACAATCGCGAGCCCAGAGGCGGCTCCGAGAAGATCGAGATCTGTCGCGAATGCGGAAGCATTGAGTAAAGCGGCAAACAATGTAGTGGTTGGCTGTGAGCCAACGTATTGTCCTCTTCCTCTTGGTTTTGAGCAACAATTTGGTCATCATTTTCATCGTCAGAATAGTCGAAATCGTCTAAAACTGTTTCGCTTTCCAATGGATTCACTTCATAGCTGTTTGGAAAACGTGTTTTGGTTTTAAATCATTTAAAAAAAAACAGTAAAAATGCAAACAAATGAACAAACAATTGAAGAGAGACAGAGACTCACTCATCCAAATTGATTGTCGGCGTCTTCTCAGTGGTTTCCTTTTCGCTCTTCCGTTCGCTTCTCTTATGTCTACTCTTTTTCAGTAAAACTTTATTTTCATTACTATTTTTAGAGTTATTAAGACTCACTCATCCAAATTGATTGTCGGCGTCTTCTCAGTGGTTTCCTTTTCGCTCTTCCGTTCGCTTCTCTTATGTCTACTCTTTTTCAGTAAAACTTTATTTTCATTACTATTTTTAGAGTTATTGTTCGGGTATTTGGCCCGAAGTCGTCGACACAACACTTCCACTTCCATTCTTCCGGTGACGAACACAAGTATACCACCGGTCGGGCATTCGGCGTGTATTTTGCATACCTTTCTGAACGCCTCGTGAAGATAATCGCTGTTTGTTTTCTTATTGAAGTGAACAGAAACTGGATATTGACGCGAATCAATCTGTTTAGTCAATCAAACAGTTTATTAACAATATATTCNCGGTCGGGCATTCGGCGTGTATTTTGCATACCTTTCTGAACGCCTCGTGAAGATAATCGCTGTTTGTTTTCTTATTGAAGTGAACAGAAACTGGATATTGACGCGAATCAATCTGTTTAGTCAATCAAACAGTTTATTAACAATATATTCGAGTATTAAAACCAATCAAATTGATTAACAATACCTTCATTACGGGCGCAACAGACTTGAAAAGTCTGGTATTAGTTGTAAAATCTTCGACTCTAAGAGTTGCCGACATTATTATCAGTTTTAAAGGATTTTTCTTCTGTTATAACAAAAAAATTAATAACAAATTTTACACCAAATGTATGCCAAAAACTATTGCTTACTTTATTCCTGAGCGGAACAATACGTGACAACAAACCAATCAATATATCAGAATAAAGACTCCGTTCGTGCGCTTCGTCGATGATTATCACTGAATACTTGTTCAGAAGAAAGTCCTAATTATAGATAAAACATATTTTAATGATTGAACAAAAATGCACTCATAATTAGAGGCAAACATTTTGTATTTCTTTGATGAGCACTCCATCGGTCATAAACTTGATTTTCGTGTCTTTCGTAACGTTTGAATCAAACCTTATTTGATACGACACTATATCAGTGGATACGTTCATCTCGTGGGCCACTCTCTGGGACATAGCGATAGCCGCCACCCGACGGGGTTCTGTCACTCCGATTATCTGTTTATTGGACGCAAAGCCGGCTTCGTATAGGAATTGTGGCACTTGTGTTGTCTTTCCCGAACCAGTTTCGCCGCACACTATAACAAATGGGTTATTAAAAACTGCGTCCATAATAGTGTGCTCTTCGTTAATGATGGGAAGCGCTGACCGCGACTTTTCGATTTCATCCTTTCGATCCATTTGAACGAATTGTCTTTTAATCACTTCTTCGCTATTTTCTAACTTCTTTGCCTCCAATTTGACAACATTTTCAACCGTTTTCTTAGTGTTTAAATCACTTTTCACTTCTGTTTGACTTTCAGTTCTAATATTATCGTCAATTGGTTTGGTGTCTGTCTTATCGTTCAACTTATCGTCACATTTAAAATGTGACGATAAGTTGAACGATAAGACAGACACCAAACCAATTGACGATAATATTAGAACTGAAAGTCAAACAGAAGTGAAAAGTGATTTAAACACTAAGAAAACGGTTGAAAATGTTGTCAAATCGGAGACAAAGAAGTTAGAATATAGCGAAGAAGTGATTAAAAGACAATTCGTTCAAATGGATCGAAAAGAGGAAATAGAAAAGTCGCGGTCAGCGCTTCCCATCATTAACGAAGAGCACACTATTATGGACGCAGTTTTTAATAACCCATTCGTTATAGTGTGCGGCGAAACGGGTTCGGGAAAGACAACACAAGTGCCACAATTCCTATACGAAGCCGGCTTTGCGTCCAATAAACAGATAATCGGAGTGACAGAACCCCGTCGGGTGGCGGCCATCGCTATGTCCCAGAGAGTGGCCCACGAGATGAACGTATCCACTGATATAGTGTCGTATCAAATAAGGTTTGATTCAAACGTTACGAAAGACACCAAAATCAAGTTTATGACCGATGGAGTGCTCATCAAAGAAATACAAAATGTTTGTCTCTAATTATGAATGCATTTTTGTTCAATCATTAAAATATGTTTTATCTATAATTAGGACTTTCTTCTGAACAAGTATTCAGTGATAATCATCGATGAAGCGCACGAACGGAGTCTTTATTCTGATATATTGATTGGTTTGTTGTCACGTATTGTTCCGCTCAGGAATAAAGTAAGCAATAGTTTTTGGCATACATTTGGTGTAAAATTTGTTACGGTATTAATTTTTCGTTATAACAGAAGAAAAATCCTTTAAAATTGATAATAATGTCGGCAACGCTTAGAGTCGAAGATTTTACAACTAATACCAGACTTTTCAAGTCTGTTGCGCCCGTAATGAAGGTATTGATAATCAATGATTGGTTTTAATATTTGAATATATTGTTAATAAACTGTTTGATTGACTAAACAGATTGATTCGCGTCAATATCCAGTTTCTGTTCACTTCAATAAGAAAACAAACAGCGATTATCTTCACGAGGCGTTCAGAAAGGTATGCAAAATACACGCCGAATGCCCGACCGGTGGTATACTTGTGTTCGTCACCGGAAGAATGGAAGTGGAAGTGTTGTGTCGACGACTTCGGGCCAAATACCCGAACAATAACTCTAAAAATAGTAATGAAAATAAAGTTTTACTGAAAAAGAGTAGACATAAGAGAAGCGAACGGNAATAACTCTAAAAATAGTAATGAAAATAAAGTTTTACTGAAAAAGAGTAGACATAAGAGAAGCGAACGGAAGAGCGAAAAGGAAACCACTGAGAAGACGCCGACAATCAATTTGGATGAGTGAGTCTATAGTCTCTCTTCAATTGTTTGTTCATTTGTTTGCATTTTTACTGTTTTTAAAATGATTTAAAACCAAAACATGTTTTCCAAAACAGCTATGAAGTGAATCCATTGGAAAGCGAAACAGTTTTAGACGACTTCGACTATTCTGACGATGAAAATGATGACCAAATTGTTGCCCAAAACCAAGAAGAAGAAGACAATACGTTGTCTCACAGCCAACCACTGCATTGTTTACCGCTTTACTCAATGCTTCCGCATTCGCGACAGATCTCGATCTTCTCTGAGCCGCCTCTGGGGAGCGCTAACACACAGTAGAGATGCTTGCAGCGGCTCTGAAGAGAGTGATAAGGATTATAATTTATACAACAGCTGAGCCCTTTCCAAACACAGGATATAACGATATATATGACGTAATGAGATAAGGCAATTCAGCATAAAGTTGTAGTCTATAAAATCACTAACAATTTTAAGGCCAGAACTTAATACAATTCAGATATCAGATAATTGTTCAAAAAATACGTCTAGTGTTGTCCAAAGGTAAAAAAAATGTTTAAACTTTTGACTAATGAGTAAGGGTTAAACACATCGTTGACTTTAACCTTTGACCCGGGTTCACTCGGGTTAACCTTTTGACTCATTGCTGTCGTACAACAGAATTTACAAGAATCCTGAATAAATTTTAAATATTTAGAGAACCAAAACATTTTATATTAAAGTTTTTAAATCTATTTTTAATTTGCGAAATTAATTATCATTGTGAGCATAATTGAAATTGATATAACTGATGGCATAACTGTTACTAAATTTTTAAATTATGGTATAACTTTTACCCATTATGTCAGATTTGGGAAATTCCTTCAGATTTCAATTCCTCTCATCCATACCTTTCCATTGATACATAATATGATATACTTATTCATAAAATACAAGATGGGATATCCAAATTTTTCCCGATAAAAGTGGTCACTGCGGTCAAACTCGAGGTCGTCTGGCCAAATAAATTATACCACCGTACTACTGTCAAAGTTAAGGATTTTGTACTATACCTGCATCGAACAACAGATTGGTCGCATTGCAATTGACACGATTCGTAATTGTAATCCGTTCACGAACTCGATATGTGACTTCGTTTGTAGATATACATGCTTTAGAAGTTTCAATTGTTATGCTATAGAGTGTACTTTCGATTGATAACAATAATTCCCGGTTACACTATTGGCATTATTTGAACATTATCCTTTATAATTATTTTAATTTGTGCATAACTATCGAAACCAAATAGTTGACCAGTCATGATGTGAAATCTTAATTATTATTTTGTCATATCTAAATATTTTCTCAGTGATTCTTACAATACAATATTTAATCATGACGTTAGTATACAGTAGTCTATAATATATTTACAAATTTGATCTAGTTTTGGTGAATGGCATAATGGGGCGTATATCCACGTACGTGAATATTATTACACTTAAAGTGTCTAAAATGTACAGTGGTTTTGATGGCGTGGATATAGGCCTATATTCACGTGGGTAAGTGTAAAAATCATATATAAGTGCGTAAATTTGTCAAAATTATTTATAAACAATTAATTAGTTTATTCGTAGTAAATTAAATAGTATAATTTTGATCTCTTTCTCTGTTTTGTCACACGCTGATCACTGATTTCTTAATTTATATCAAATTCATACATTGAATCAACGATTATTTGAAGTGATTCATCAATTGAAGACATTATTATATGAGATATTTCACATTAATGTACTAATTATTCATAAAACCCACCTATATATAAGATAATGCATATACATTACAAACATGTAAAGTCACATTTTAGAGTTCAAAATTTATTAATAAGTCATACGACTTTAATTTCAAGGTATATGTGAATTTCAATTAAAAGTAAAAACATGTGCCAAAAACTACCGCACCTATATCCGGATATATGTGCACCCCTTTTGTGAAACTCACATATAAGTGCATGCTCCTATATGCGGGGTAATACGGTAATAGTGGTAAATAACTAATCTCTCTCTCTCTCTCTGAAAATTTATTGATACATTTATGTCATTGATTTTCATATGTGTTTCCATATTATGATGAGTTAAATTAGATGTTATGCAAAAACTTTCATCACAATTATTGAAATGACAAATAAATGAATTTTCGCCCAAATGTATGCTTTTGTTATGAAAAGGATTTTGATTTGGTTTCATATTTTTACCGCAATTTTCTTCATTAGTTTTGAGTTTTGTTTCATTCAAATGAAAACAATTATTAAAATCACATTTAAATGGTTTTATTGATGAATGTTTCAATTGATGATTAAAACTCAATTTCGTGTTTATTTTGTATTGACATTTAGGCCAAAATAGTGAAAATAATCATCAGATTTACCTTTTTGGTATAAATTACTTACAGGTAAATTTACCGGTAATAATTACATGGTAAATTTACTGACAAAAACCTCACTCAATAGATGGCGACGGCAAAAAATGTCTCAAAATTTTGAAAAATGTGGGGGTAAACTCCTATAATACCCCCATTTATAACTTACATAAATTAGAAGTTTATATTTAATTCATTTAAATGGGATTTTAATGCCATTAATTTCCATTAAATATATTGAATGAACTTACTGGAAGTGGGATTTCTGTACCCTAAAGTTTGTGATACGTCTGTAACGCAGTGTCAATGAAATGCATGTTAAACATTGAATGTATGACTGTATGTGTGTGTTATAGTGAATGTTTTTTATTGGCTTATTGTTTTTGCGGGAGTGTGACGTGTTTTGTCAAGTATTTTAATAATATGATTTCAGCTGAAGAATGAGTAACTTTTTGCTTTGCCTGCAAATCTTGTTTTCGTCTAAAAGTTAATTTGAAAATATTTGCGTTCACTTAAAGGTCAAAAGCAAGGTATACGACAACGTGACGGGGGTTTCGACTTTTATCATCGGTTGGACATCGAAAGCATCGGCTGACCAGAGGGCAGGCCGTGCGGGCCGTACGGGTGCCGGACATTGTTATCGACTCTATTCTTCGGCCATATTTAACGATGAATTCCCACAATATTCTGAGC